AAAAAAAAAAAAAAAACGGAGTATAATTATAACAGTAAGTTCAGACGTCACCTCAACAGAGCTGGAAGCCGATCTCTGCCAAAAGTAATGCCACATGAATGTTTTTTATAAAGACTAATTAACAAAAAAAAGAACGAAAATATGGGATAGATTCTATCATACATCAGAGCCTTAGATGTCGCTGTACTGGTAAATGTCGCCTGCAAAAATACTTATACATACTGATTACGGTAAAAGCGAATTATTATAAGATATTAGAAAAAAAAAATCAAACCTTCATATTAATAGAGAGTGTATCCAAAATCACCAAAACACGATTCGTGTAAAAAATTTGAGTCCAAAGTAGTCCACTAGAGACCACAAGGTCACTGAGCAACCCATACGCCTTGATTTGCGTTCTTGAAAGACAATATTTTTCAACTATTTGAATATTAATAAAATGATAAAGCTCAAGAACCTAAAAGACTTTAGTTTTATTCAACGCTTACTTTTGTGACGCAAATGCTTCTCCAGTATATGAATATGAAACAAGAGCCAACAGCGCATCCAAAAGACTATTTTTACTCATACATTTCAAAGACGCAAGATGAAGTTTCTGCAGTGTTCACACAATTAACTTTACTGTAACTGCATTAATTAAGTAAATTTAAAAACTGAACTGAGCCATCAAAACTAAAGCAAACCTTCTCGCAATTTTTAGAGCACAAGGCTCTCTGCACTTCACCAACAGCCCTATCTACTGTATGAGTGGCGGTTGAATCACAAATCCTTCCATTAAACGTATACCGACATACTCCATTGGAACAATCATTTATAATATCAGCGTCAACAATATTTTTAACTGTTTGCACAATTTCCCTTATTGATTTATCAATACTGTAACAAAACACTCCATCTTAGTAAAATTTGGATGTAAGTAATTATGAAAAACTTTAAAATAAAAATGACAAAATAATAATTACGTTGTTTTTGGCGCATGGTTAATATTTGAAGTAGCTAATGAGGCATTTTCTACACTTACTGAATACTCTTTAGTTCTGAAATATAAACTAATAAAATTAAACAAAGAGCAAGAGAAGATGTTTCATAAAAACTTAAACTTAAAAAGTTTTTACTTCTCCTGAATAAAAAATAAACTGATTTAATAGTAGAGAAATATGAACTTTTCTGAGAGTAAGCACAAGAAAGCAATGAAATATGAAACAGAGTTAAGTAACTAACTGGTTAGTCAACTTTTGACGTAAACGAGTCCTCTTCTTCTTGCTTGAAACATTTGGCTTCATATTTTCCAGTTTTTGAATGCTTTTTGGTGTTGATTCATCCCCAGAACAATCAACCATACATTCTTCCAACTCATTTTTCTGAAAGACTCCTTGAACTAATAAATTAACAAGTACTTTATAGCGGAAACACCGTTAAAAAGATTTCAACTAACCACATATTCGTAATCCACATCTGAAATCATCATGTTTTTGGCACTCAAGTGATCCCCAAAAAGTAAGTGAGCCATAAGATCAAGACTGCCATAAAACTACAAATAGTTATTGTTCATCTTTAAATAACATAAGGATTGAGATTAAAATAGTTTTGAAAAACTCACTTTACAGTTGCACCGTCCACACTTTTTAGTCGCAAAGTTCACTAGGTTTGAGTGAGGCGAAGTAGAAGAATCTTCTGTGAAAATGCGAGAAAAGTCAACTAAGTTAGCAATCCACTCAATCTGCCTAGGATTACTCATTTCTGAAGCTCTTTGTTTTACCTGTGCTAGTGACTCTTCATGACGACGTCGTGTGACTTCTTGCTGCAATATAATTTAAACGTAACCCTATCAATTCCTAATAGACAACGTTATTTTCAAAATAAAACGAAGATAATAAAGCATAGTAGTGACCTTCTCCTCGAGCCTTTTTTTCAAGCTGGCAGTGTCAACAGCTTTTTTTTCTGCAAACCTTTCAAAACACTGCCTAAAAAATCGATCAAAATTGAAAAGTAAGCATTATTGGTACGGTTAGCAATGACTTAAAAACAGCATAAAAATAGAGTCAAACCTATGTTTCTCTTTGGCAGCAGATACGCGCTCTTTTTCTTGTTCTATTTTCTGCATCTCAATTTCCGCATGTCTTGCCAACTTTTTATCTGCTTTTTCTCTGAACCTTTCAGCCCTTTCCTATGAAAAACTGGTTGGTAAAAAATATAATATCGACGAAAAAAGTATTCTTGGAGGCATACTGTGTCAGCATTTCGACGACGCTCCTCAGCAGCTGCTTCCTTAGCTGCTTTTTCTTCTACTTTCCGAGCCCTTTCTTCTGCCAATAACTGTGCCCTTTGCTCCCATTCTTGATTTTTTGCCATTACATCATGACGCATATTTCTCGCCTCGAGTTCGTTAATAAAACTGATCTGCATGACCTTAAAACGCTAACTCCAAAATGAGCGATATTAAATAAGTTTTATAAAAACTCTCAAAAAATTCCTAATATCACCTTGACATCATCATCCCGTGCTTTCTTTATTATTTCGTCAATGCTCTTCTGACGATTTTCTTCAGCTTTTTCCATACGTTCTTGTAAATGGTGCCTTTTACGTTCGAGTAATTCAGCTCGTTTCCTCCGAACTTCTTCGACCTGAAATGTTAGATTCCACATTAAAAAAAAACAGAAAATATCAACAAAAATTAAAATTATTTCTATGCATTACAATAAGATCGAAAAACAGGTACATATAACAATGAATTTTTTTGAAGATTACTTGAAGTTTTGAAAAGAACAATTTCAAACAATAGAGTTGACCACCTTGACTAAACTAATTTATTCTTAAGCCGACTAGATTATGAAGCTATAACCTTTCTAGAAAGTTCTTTCAGCCTTTCAGCTTTCTGATCTTGCAACATTTGCCTCAGTTCTTCCGCCCTTTGTTGCCTTTCTTCCAGACATCGATTAGCAGAATCTTGTCTTCTAATAAAAGAATAAGAACAATAAAATCAAAAATGCGGTTTGAATTTGAAATGCGAAACATTCACAAGAATCACCGCAAACAAACCTTCTTCTACTTGGAGATAACAATTTTTCATGTATTTGAGCAAAATCTCCTGGCTTTCTATAATGGGTTATTTCGCGCTCAACAATTTCACCCCAGCTCATTGACGCGTACTCTTCCATCTCCTCTAAAAAAATTTTTAATTTAAGTAAGCATTTTAAGTGAGTAGTTTTCACTCAAAATTCAAGTGAGTAAACAATGAAAAAATATTATGAAATTCTTTACAAAAATTATGCTGGAAACAAACTTTTTATGCTGCTAACAAGATCTTGTAACGTAGGGCGCTCTTTCTTATTATCTCCTACCGGTGTCTGCAAAAAACAACTATTAATAATCATTGTCCCTGTAATTACTGCAGGTGAAAACGAAGAAATTTTGCAAAAAAAAAAGAATTCTAAAAAGATTGATGAGTTTTAAAAAGGTCAAAAACACCTTCTTCCCACACTCCTTTTCTAGTGGAGAATCGTAAAGATTTGCTTCTGCAGCAACCTGTCGTTCAAGTTCATCATCTATAGATATACTTTCTTCCTAAGCGAAAAACAAATGTGAGCCTTGCAGACAAGAACAGTTAGTCAATACTCAAATTACTGTTGTACGCCAAAATATCGAGAATTTCGTGCAACTACTATTAATTTATAACTACCCACTTTCCAAATAAAAGATATCCACTACAAGATTTAACAGTTAAAGCCCCTCTCAACTACCTCTTCTATTTCTTTGGTGAGACTCTGTTCTTCCTGAAGTAAAGATTCTTCCTCTTCAGTCATAGCTGTCCATGCCTCGTCAGGATCCATACCTTCAGGCAAAACAGGGCAACTAAGAGTAGCGGTTCCAGTCCTGCAAAATAAGTATTGGTCAATAGTTTGACAGGTATTTAAATAATTTTATTGTAATTCGGAAATCTATTTGACTAATGGAAAAAGGATAGATGCCTTACAAACAGGAATGAAGTACAGACCTATGTTTAGTCGATAACACTTCCCCGTTACTTGAAAAAGATGACATAGATGTCAGATATCCTCGCTGATCGTATTCACCCTTGTT